TTATTATTGTTATTATTATTAGTAGTATTTTATTATTTTTGTTGTTGTTGTTGTTGCTGTTGTAATTGTTGCTCTAGTTTTCCGAGCAAATACACACCCATTATTTAAAATTTTACATTGTAAGATAAAGTGTAACATTTCACCTTCAAATTGAATAATAGGCAACTTTCAGTAAGACCACAAGTACGCGCAATTTTCAAATTCAAATGTGACGTCGTTATAAAGTTCAAATATCACATAGCAACTTCAGTTAATATTCTCTAAATTCTTTCGCGAGGACATCGTATTATTGAAGCTTACGTTTAAAAACAAACACAAGAGAAGATCTTGCAAGAGATCGAGACCCTTGAAATTGAAACATTTACCAAGATGCCGACCCAATTTCTCAGAGTCAAGAGTTAAGACAGAGAACGTGTTTATGAGTCACAAGAGAGAGTTGGGGGATTTTATAGGGCCTGCACGCTCCACCCGTGCTGGGATAGAAGCTAGAGCTGGGCAAAGAATCAATTTCGGAATCGATTCCCACGATTAATGCAAGGGAAGAAACGTTCCCTTTCACGAAACCCAACGGTTACCAGTTACTTTAATCATTAAAATCTTCTTTTTTAAAAGAATGTATCTTTGAAAAATAAAAGTTGCTTCGGAGTGTTCCGAAATCAAGGTTATCCTAAATCCTGAAGACTGAAAATGTTCAGAGCCAACCAGGTAACCACCGGAAGAAATCACATCATTAGAAAGTAATTGGGATCGGAGTCGATTCCTACGATTCCTAGCTTTCAATAATCGGGAACCTAGCCGCCCAGCACTAATGGAAGCAGCGTTTATCTGTCCCCGTGGTTTTATGCACCCCGCCTAATTTAGCAAAATTTGATCATTTTTGGGGGGCATAATTTCTGACTATTTTCCTTTATCATTCTTTGTTAGAATTAACAGAATCGCATAATTTCACATTTTTGGGCTCATTTTGCATAATTTCAGAATTTTTCTTGCTTGAAACGACGGGTACAGCTTTATTAAGGGCATGTAGTCCTATGTTCCTGCGTGTTGTGTAAGGGGGAACATTTTCATGGAAATTTTTAGAGTACTAAATTAACTTGTTTTGTTTTCGTAAACCGCCAGTCTTCCTCCCTTTTTTCCACTCTCACCTGCTCTCCTTTTATGTGGTGTTAAATTTGAAGTTGTTATATGCAGCATTTGAGTAATTATGGTTTTGTTACATTTGACTTAAAAGAGCCGTAAAAACACTACAACGTGTCCTTCAATGTTTCTTTCACTCATTTAAATTTATTTCAGCCAACTTTGTGAGACCCGAGTGCCAGAAGGGCCAGATCCGATGTCAGCGCACGAACAAGTGTGTGTGGAAAAGAAACCTGTGTGACTTGAAGAACGATTGTGGACAGTGGGAGGATGAGATGAACTGTGGTGAGACACTGACTCTCATAGACTAGGCTCATCTCAATATCCGATACTTTTTTTAGCTTTAGTTTAGTTTTAGTAGAGGTTTAACGGCGCTCGCAACTGCATAAGGTCATATGAGCGCCAATTGTTTTAGCTTTAGTTTTAGTAACATTACGTTTCCTCAGAATTACGAAGTTCTATCGACATTTTTTGGCCGTTTTGAGCTACTGCAACTATGACGTCAGAAACCAAATGTTGTATAATATGCTCTGTCAAAAACCTAAGATTTTGAGAGTCCCTATCGAGATATTTAAAATGTTGCTTTCGAAAAAGCTTGACCTGTTGTGAAACTCAAAATTGTTCACGTCGGATTTCTTAAAACTAGATTTCTAGATACTGAGCAGAAATAACTTGGTAATTCTGGTGTAGCAATTAATTTACCTGTCCCCGTGTTTTTATGCACCCCCCATAATGTATCAAAATTTGATCGTTTTTTGCATAATTTCTGATTATTTTCCTTTTTCATTCTTTGTTAAACTTAACAAAATCGCATAATTTCGCATTTTTGGGCTCATTTTGCATAATTTCAGAATTTATCTTGCATAAAACGACGAGGACAGATTTACAGCAACTGCAATCGAATTTAAAATGTTGTTGATATACATGTTTGTCCTTTATGATTTAGGCCTACGCTGTTGTCATGGAAGTCTCTTTGGTTAAAAGTGTGTGTTTTAAGCGGTGTGGGACAATGGCCTTAGTAGATAGCATTTGTATAACGCAAATCCCAGCTCAACAGCAAGCTCTATGCGCTTCACAATCTGTACTATTACCCCAGCAGACCTGAGAGCATTCTGAAACAAACAAACTCAACTTCCTGGGAAGCATACAGTCCAAGCAGCCGTTTATAGGCACTAAAACACAACATACTGACAAAATATTTCGCTGTCTATGGCCGGGTACCCATTTCCGCGTGGGTGAAGTGAGAAAAATTCGTGTAAAGTGCCTTTCCCAAGGACACAACGTCGGGTCCGCGGCTCGAACTCCCGACCCCGCAACCTCACAGACGCCACAAAATAAACACTAAATAAATATTTGCTTATAAATGGCAGATCTGTCATATTTGTACAGACTTTAACTCAACCCAATGTCACACTGGAAAGTTCTAATTCTCTGTCACGTGTGTACAGACTATAAGTTCTATTTCTCTGTCACGTGTGTACAGGCTATAAGTTCTAATTCCCTGTCACATTTAAGAGTTCTAATTCTCTGTCACATTGGAAAGTTTCAATTCTCTGTCACATGTGTACAGGCTATAAGTTCTAATTCTCTGTCACATTTAAGAGTTATAATTCTCTGTCACATTTGCACAGGCTGTAAGTTCTAATTCCCTGTCACGTGTGTACAGGCTATAAGTTCTAATTCTTTGTCTCGTGTGTACAGGCTATAAGTTCTAATTCTCTGTCACGTGTGTACAGGCTGTAAGTTCTAATTCTCTGTCACGTGTGTACAGACTATAAGTTCTAATTCTCTGTCTCGTGTATAGAGACTATAAGTTCTAATTCTCTGTCTCGTGTGTACAGACTATAAGTTCTAATTCTCTGTCTCGTGTGTAGAGACTATAAGTTCTAATTCTCTGCCACGTGTGTACAGGCATTAAGTTCTAATTCTCTGTCACGTGTGTACAGGCATTAAGTTGTAATACTCTGTCCCGTGTGTACAGGCTATAAGTTCTAATTCTCTGTCCCGTGTGTTCAGGCTTCAACAGCACACGGTGCAGCGCCGGGGAGCTGGAGTGTCCTGACCGCATGTGTATCCCCCTCTCCTGGCGATGTAACGGTGCCCGGGACTGTGCGGACGGGAGTGATGAGGCTGGCTGTGGTAAGAATCGTCGTCATCTCCCTCATCGTCATCATCATCATCATCATCATCATCATCAACATCATCATCATCATCATCATCATCATCATCATCATCATCATCGTCGTCGTCATCGTCATCGTTATTATTATTAATATCATTATTTTTTTTTATTATTATTATTATTATTATTATTATTATTATTATTATTATTATTATTATAAGCAGCAGCAGCAGCAGCAGCAGCAGCAGCAGCAGCACAATCATAATACTTGTACTTACAATACATTTCGAATGTACTGTCAATGGAAAGAAGAAGAAGGAGAAGAAGAAGAAGAAGAAGAAGAAGAAGAAGAAGAAGAAGAAGAAGAAGAAGAAGAAGAAGAAGAAGAAGAAGAAGAAGAAGAAGAAGAAGAAGAAGGAGAAGAAGAAGAAGAAGAAGAAGAAACATCTGAAGTTTTTCTCCCCTCGCTTTTGTTCTCCGGTATCTTATTATTCCATCACCCTATATGTTTCTTCTCTTTCCTTCTTTCTTCATTTAACCATCTCGTCTAATTTCCTTTAGTTTTTTTAGTTTTAGTAAGAGATTTCCTACTCTCATCTCAATATAATTCCTACCTGTCCAGAACGACTCCCTATTGATCCCGTCCCCATGGTTTTATGCACCCCGCAAAATTTAGCAAAATTTGATCATTTTTTGCATAATTTCTTATTATTTTCCTTTACCATTCTTTGTTAAAATTAACAGAATCGCATAATTTTATATTTTTGGGCTCGGTTTGCATAATTTCAGAATTTTTCTTGCATAGAACGACGGGGACAGATTGATCATCATGGTCTTAGTACTCTTAGACAGGGGAGTTCTCTGCACTGTATCATTACAATATATTACAAAGAACACGATTGACGGACGGGGCTTGGTGGGGGGGGGGGGAGAAGCAGTGGCTGTTTGTACAGGTGATTGTCTTGGACAGATGGTCGTTAGAGTGAATTCGACTGTACTCATAATTTCTAGCATCTGCGTTGATCGCGGCTGCGACCCGCGAATCGCGGCCGCCATTTTTGGCATTTTTTGAGAAGCGGTTATTTTCATGTGAAGAATATAAGAACACGTACATTACATACTATTTATATTGCTTTTTCTCTTTTATCTTTTCCATCTTTGTTGATGTGTTAATTTTTTTATTTTCTTGTTGTTGTTCTGGTGTGTTGTTTCTCTATTTTGTGTGTGTGTGTGTTTTTATATTGCGTAATGTCATATAATTTGATGTAGTTTCTACCTTTGTAATATATGCAGTACTCACGTTTAGGGTTAAAACGGCCAATCTTCGGATAAGTGGACACATGACCTTATTTGTTAATTTTTGTGGTTGTTTATGTGCTGTTCAAATGTTTATTTCATTCTTCAGTGAAACCTTTATTTTTCACGTTCTTACTCTCTGTGTAGCTACGAATGATATCGGGATGCTTACAGCAGAGCACAAGAAATTCTGGTGCTTTAGATTAGATTAAGTTACGTCTCTCAATACATATGTATATTGCTATATACGTGGTCACACAGAGTTGAAAGCTTGAAAATAAATGGCAACTCTCATGGCAACTTTTGACTTTTTTTGTGGCAACTTTGGGGAAATTTTGAAGAGAAAAAAATGGCAACAAACGCAGATGCTAGGTATTTATTAGTACCTCACATTTCATTTATAATCACTTGGACTATTTTTTGTGGTTATTGTTTTGGAGTTGTTTTTTATTTATATATTTATTTATTTATTTACTTA